TGGTGATTGTGCAGGAACGGTAACTTGCGCGTAAATTAGTTTCAAGTGATAGTAGACTTGCGCTGTATCTACCCTACCCGTTATTCCCTCACCCAGCTGTATCCGGTGTCAAGAAAAAGGCAAGAAGACTGGAGGCGGGGTCAGACGCAGATGCGGCTTAGCCTGAACCTTTGCCAACCACCAGGACCCCCCGTTCGATATTTGTTATGGGAGCGCCACCTTAATAACGCATGCAGTGCCCTGATCTAGCCCGTTTAGGGAGCATGACAAACACTTAATAACACTGCGAAGTGAATAAGGTCAAGGTGGCTTGACGCAAGAAGGCAACACCTTATCGAGGTTTGTTCAGGCTAATAAGGTTAACTCTTAGGACTGCGATTTTCCAGGCCCGGTTCCTTAGGAGAAGAGAGAAGTTATGGGAAGGCCAGAGTGATACGAAGAATATATTCTGAACAGGGAGGGTCGAAGAATAGGTTGTAGGAGATTGATTGTCGGAGCACACGTCCTTCCAACAGAGCGGCGCAGCCCGACGTGATGTCTGGCGACAGACATTCGAACGGCCACCGTTAGCTCTCCTTGTCTTGCGCAGCCTTGGAGGTCATTGGTTAGACCGCAGGAGGTTACGCACCGGCGTGGTCTAGTAGGTCGCGCCCGACATCGAGCGAGAAGTGGACAGGACAGGCATCGCGACTTCAGCCTTGGCGTGAAGAGTCAGCGATCACGGGTTCCCACAGTGGCCGCTCGCGGCCACTACAACCGCATTTCTATATAGGCCCCACTGAGAGCATTCGGGATTGTTCTGATATGCGCTCGCACGACTACGTACGTGTATTTTCTTAGATCCAAAATGTCTGATAATCCTCCATCGATAGTGGTTCTGGTGAAAGTAGTGTTCCAATTTGTTTACAGTTACCCTGCAGTCGATGAAAGTCACTGTGGTTCCGGAATACTCGCTCCGTCTTAAATAGAGGTCCTCGTTCCGGACAGTAAGACAAAAGAAACATTGACCTTTTTTTCTAGCCAAGAGAGGTAAATAACTTTTGCGATACTTATCGTACTTGCCGATACCCTCCTCTCCTGAAGAACCGATTAATTGTGATTCTGGCGGTCTCCTCCGTGAGTCCGCAAGTTAATGTCATCAATATGCGACCGTCTTGGTCATTTCCTCATGAGCTATGGGCAAGTCAAGATCGACGCCGATTCCGTCTTGCAAGATGTATTCATAAATTCGGCGAAGATTAACACTTTAAGTACCCAATTCAGCCAGGCAGAATTAACTGTCTGAAGCTGAACCTTGAATTCGACCCAATTGTGAAAAAACTCGAGACGTTCGGAGCGAGGTGGGGCGTTTGTAACTCGATTGTTTAGAGCGTTGGCTTCCAGTAAAGGCCTTCTCTGCTATGCGGGTTCCAATCCCGCCGAACGCCTCGAGTTTTTTCACAATTGGGTCAACTC